AACTCTGAGATGCAGTACTGTAAAAAGTACAATAGTTAACTCTGAGAGGCAGTACAGTAAAAAGTACAATAGTTAACTCTGAGAGGCAGTACAGTAAAAAGTACAATAGTTAACTCTGAGATGCAGTACTGTAAAAAGTACAATAGTTAACTCTGAGATGCAGTACTGTAAAAAGTACAATAGTTAACTCTGAGAGGCAGTACTGTAAAAAGTACAATATTTAACTCTGAGAGGCAGTACAGTAAAAAGTACAATAGTTAACTCTGAGATGCAGCACAGTAAAAAGTACAATAGTTAACTCTGAGATGCAGTACTGTAAAAAGTACAATAGTTAACTCTGAGAGGCAGCACAGTAAAAAGTACAATAGTTAACTCTGAGATGCAGTACTGTAAAAAGTACAATAGTTAACTCTGAGATGCAGTACAGTAAAAAGTACAATAGTTAACTCTGAGATGCAGCACAGTAACAAGTACAATAGTTAACTCTGAGATGCACCACAGTAACAAGTACAATAGTTAGTACTTGAACCAGTACATAAACTGTCCGTGACGTTAGGGTGTTGTTCACTCCGGACCTGTAGGTGGCAGTAAGCAGCTCTGCAGTCCGCCAACAGAAGAAGAAGAAGAATCTGACCCGCGAAGAAGAAACTTGCGCGGGTAGTTTGACTGTTATGCTAACGGCTACATTAGCTTTGGATCGTCTCGGTGAGTTCTTCTTCGCTGTGTCTTTTCTCCTAAAGCTGCTTTATAACTTTAAGGTAAACATTAATAAGTAGTAGTAGTAGTAGTAGTAGTAGTAGTAGTAGTAGTAGTAGTAGTAGTAGTAGTAGTACAAGTATTATTCGGCTACTATATCGGTTAGATTGACGTAATATTTAAAGACATTTTCAGTGTTTCTGTTGGTATGAAGACGACATTCGGCCGGATTACGTAAGAAAAAGTGTCGTTTGTGTTCTTAGTTTAATTTTTAGGTTAAATTCTATCCGACAGACGACTAGTTAAGATATTTAACTAATCAATCGGGTGTTCTGTTCTATTCGGCTCATGATTTATTACGTGAAGATGTTCGTGTTACAACAATCCGTCATTGTTGTAACGTTAAATTCCGTCCGTGCACATTACGTCATATTAACTGAATCTGACGTTAGTGGGTTAAAAATGTCATATTTATGAATGGAGTCTGCTGTAACGTCTCTAATATTTAACATATTTTATATTTATATTGTATGTTATAATCCTCATCTGTTCTAGTCCAGCTGCTGGAAATAACTTTAACTCTCCACATCTGATAAAGGGTTTAAGTATTTATGAGGTATTTGTACTTCATTTGTATTTCAATGTTATGAAATTCTATATACTACATTTCAGAGGGAAATACTGTATGTGTAATATGGTGTTTAAGAATATACAATCATAATGCTGTATACATACGATATTGCCATTATAATAGTAGTATTATTAGTAATCCAGTACATCTTTTGTTGTTTGTAATATATTAATATTTTTTATCATATTTCATATCTTGTAAAACATCTTGTCTGTAATATTTCACGTAGTCATATCTTATACTTTATATACCTTCTGAAGTGGAGACATCAAATGAGGTCAGCTGGCTTTCTGCTTCTTTCTGCTCTGGGATATTATTTATCTCTGTTATGTTTGTTTGTTTTTATGTCATTTTATTAATTTCTTTCCTTATTTCTTCATTTTTATGTATTTATTTATTTCTTAGTTTATTTTGATCATAATGTCTCACTGAGCTGATTTATCTGTCAAATAACTTTAAACTGTTTTTAAAGGGGCTATATAAATAAAGTTGTTATAAGTTTATTCAGGTGTACGTAATAAAGTGGCCACCGACTGTTTATAATAACATGACTTGACTCTTCACAGTGAGACGTCATGGAGTTCACAGAGAGCAGATTCCCTCACCTGCTGCAGCCAATCAGAGAGCTCACCAAGAACTGGGAGATCGACGTGGCGTCGGAGCTAAACGACTATTTAGAAGAGGTAGAACACGTCGGATAAGAAGCTCTCTGATTAGAAAGAAGACTGAGTCTCTGCGTCTTTGAGTCTCCGTTTTTGAGTCTCTGTGTCTCTGCGTCTTTGAGTCTCTGTCTTTGTGTCTCTGCGTATTTGAGTCTGAGTCTCTGTGTCTTTGTTTCTGTAGCTGGACGACATGTGCATCACGTTCGATGGAGGGAAAACCAGACTGAACTTTGCCGAAGCGGCGCTGCTGATCCAGGGTTCAGCCTGCATCTACAGCAAGAAGGTTCACGTTCAAATAAAACCAAACTGTAAAACTTTATTAACAACCAGCTCTTATTAAACGTCACTGTCGTCTGTTTCAGGTGGAGCTCCTGCACAGTCTGGTCTACCAAACTCTGGAGTACATCAACGACAGGAATAAGAAGTGAGACGGTCCTCCAGCTGTGAGTCAGTGTTGGACAGACGCGTTCAGGTGATTCAGCTTTTCTGATGTTTGTTTTCTCGACAGACGGAACAAACAGACGTCAGCGTCTCAGGAGGACGACGCTGACGGAGCAGCGAGCGAACACGACGATGAGGCTGTGGTGAGAAACAGTTCTATTTATTGTGTTTCTGATTGTTGTTGATTGTTGTTAAATGTTATGCACCTCCCGTCATGTCAAATTCCTTGTATGTTCAACATACCATGGCAATAAACGGTTCTGATTATTATTCTCAGAGCTGGAGGGGGAAACAAAGCATGTTGATATATTTATTAAGATATTAAAATGTCTTTAAATATGTCTATGTGAAGTTTAAATGTTTACAAACAGTAGCCACATGACCAACAGGCTAATAACCTGCTTCCTCTACTGAACTGTTACAGAAAGGCATTGTGGGTAATGTAGGACATCATTGAGCCTAGTAGTCTGTCTGTCTCCTTCAGTTCACTCCGCTCAACATCAAGGTCTCTGGGAACTCTATGAATACAGACTCCAACACGGTGAGTTTACTCCAGACTAACTCTCTGATTACAGACAGTATATTCCAGACTAACTCTCTGATTACAGACAGTATATTCCAGACTATCTCTCTGATTACAGACAGTATATTCCAGACTAACTCTGATTACAGACAGTATATTCCACACTAACACTCTGATTACAGACAGTATATTCCAGACTAACACTCTGATTACAGACAGTATATTCCAGACTAACACTCTGATTACAGACAGTATATTCCAGACTAACTCTCTGATTACAGACAGTATATTCCAGACTAACTCTCTGAACACAGACAGTATATTCCAGACTAACTCTCTGGTGTCTGTAGATCATCATGAAGTGTAACTATCTCTGTTTCACCATCAGACTGTGAGTGTTGCTCCTCTTCCTCCTGAGTCTCTGATTCCTCCTGAAACCTCAGAGAAGCACAAGCTCCCGCTCATCAGGTCAGTCTAAAACAACACAATGAAGTATTTTATATATTACTACTACAGTGTTCAGATATTGTTCATAAATCTGTGTCTGTCAGTGTGACCGGAGACGTCCTGTGCAGTCAGAAGGACTTCAGGATCAACCTCTTCATCCCAGGAGACCAGGATCTGATCCTCCTCACTCTGGGATCAGCTGCCTCCAGGTTTCTGATGGATGTGGATCAAATCCCTGCAGAGTCTCTGCAGCAGAGAGGTACAGATCCTCGTCCTCTTGAGGCTCTGGTTGAAGATAATGGAGGTGATGCTGAGGAGGACTTCCTTCCTTTAGAGGATAACAACATGGAGCTGGACCAGGACCCAGAGGAGCATTTGGACCGGCACCAGGTCTGGTTTTTGTGTTCAGTCCAGTTCGGAGACTTTGAGACTCTTTGAGTTGTTGTTAAAGTCTTTAAAATGTGTCTCAGGCTCCGAGTGAAGGACGGATGATCCGAGAGAGACGAGAGGTCGAAGAGAAACCAGCGAGGACGGAGGAGACGCCTCCGCCTGTAAGTATGATCATCTTTATTCTCATTCTACCAGTTTAAACAAGTTTATCGTGGAAATATTCTAATGTTGCAATATTACTAATTTATTAAGTGTTTTTTTTCTCTTCACTCTCATGATATTAGATTTATATTTCTCATTACTTTTTACTTACATTTTTTTCTTTAGTTTTTTCATAAAATTATTTCTTAAAGAAATGACAAATACATTTTTGAAATGTCAAATTATTTTTCATTTATTTACTACTCATTAAATCATGTAAAATTAGAACTTTATTCTTTAAATATTGTGACTTAATTCTCATAAAAATCCAACAGTTCTGTCTAAATATCTCCACTTTATCCTGTAAACAGACGTTTCCTCTCGAACCCTCTTGAGTTTAACATAAAGAACGATGTGAACGTTTCAGGTCAGCGTGTGGACGTTAAACGACCCGTACGTCGTCCTCGGAGAAGACAAACCTTTTAAATCTGGGAAATGCTACAAAGTCCCTGAAGGTCTGGATGACGGAGGGAAGAGGAAACGAAGACGAGCTGCTTCTCTTCAGGACTTCAGGAGCTGGTTCAGAGGAACATGTGAGAACCACATTCTGTTTACATGATAATGAGGATGATGATGGTGATGATGATGAGGAGTATTTATTTTGTCTTTCAGTTGATCCTCCGGAGCACAAGTTCAAAAATGGACCATCGTTTCCAGGTAAACAATTCGTCACTATTTCATGAGTAAAACTAAATCTATCATAAGAAATAAAACCATAACATGTGACGTAAGGACGGCCATCTTTGGCCATCATGTTTTTCAGACCTGAACTACATTTATTTAAATACCATGAAAAACAAACTTAAGACTCGGAAGAGAATCTACAGGAGAGCAGTAAGTGTGTGTGTGTGTGTGTGTGTGTGTGTGTGTGTGTGTGTTTGTGTGTGTGTGTGTGAGAGAGAGAGAGTGAGAGAGAGAGATCCTGTTGATGATGTAATGTGTTGTCTCTCTGACCTCATCCACACGGATACAGATAGTTTTGAAAATTCATATATTATCGTTTTAAAGACTCGAGTTCTGCATTTTGGCCATCGCCATCTTGGTTTTTGCAACCAGTGAACAGGAAGTGACCATATCTGGACTGAGGAGGAGTGACGTAGAGATGCCGTATACGTCTATGGTACAGACCTGTCAATCACCGTGTAGCCTCGCCCTAAAGCATCCCCTGCTTTATGGTCTGTTTGACTCTAAATGGACCATAATGTACTAAATGAACATCATGCTGTATTGAAGAAGACTTGAAACTACAGATTGAGACCATAAACTCATGTTTACAATGTTTACTGAGGTAATAAATCAAGAGAGAAGTAGAGTCATTTTCTCATAGACTTCTATACAACCAGAGGAGTCGCCCCCTGGTGGTCACTAGAGAGAATGCAGCTTTACTAAGTGATGTCACTAAGTGGGTGTGGTCAGTGATGTGTGTGTGTGTGTGTGTGTGTGTGTGTGATGTCACTCAGGGGGTGGCAATCTCTGATGAAGAACTCAGGAGGACCTTCCTCCAGCTGGAGGAGGTGGGGCCACAGCAGCAGGGGGAGGAGCCTATGGACGGATTCAGACCCCCCGACATGCTGGGTAAGACCTCCACACACAAACTTTGTAGACATCACTTCAACTCCTCTCAGCTCAGGGCCCCGTTCCTCGTACGTGGCTAACTGAGTTAGCCGCATTATTTTCAGGATAAGATGACGTAGATCAGGCTTTTCGGTTCCACGAAGCAAGTTTGGCAAAATCACCATGGCAACACATCCATAAGCTTGAAGCTGCTCCAGCGCAGGCTAACTGAAGGTAGCCGGATAAGCTGCCACTCCCCCGAAAAACATGGCAGCTCCTGTCATATACGGTAGTCTAATGCGCTTGCGCATATACCGGGGGTTATACGGGAGTTCCAGAAATGCATGTACACACGGTGATCCATTAAAGCAGCTGAGCAAACTAAGAAGCCTCTATTGCATTAATGTACAGCTCCCTTCCTCAGAGATCCACTGATGAAGGAGGATATTAGTTAGATTAGCGTTTTATAGGGAGAGAGTTCTTCCACATCGCCAAGATCCGTTATCACATCACGATGACTTCCTATACGAGCGCTATCCATTCTGCCCACAAGGAATCATTTATTTACAGACCTTCTGGAGCATACATTGAACACCACACGCTGCAGCCTTGAGCTGTTCTGCGAGTGGTACATTGTTGTACAGTGTCGGCGATGCGGAGAACATGGGGAAAGCCGCTGCATGCCGTGCTGTTGGTAAAGTTTATTAGGCGCTTAATAAACTTATGGATGTGTTCATTACATCACCATGGCACATATTGTACTGACTCAGCATTCTGAGTAATGTGTGTGTGTTAGTGTTTACTTGCTCCCATGTCCTCTTGATGGCTGCGTTGCATACATGAGGGTTAAAGCACTCATAATGATATGACAGTGTTATTAGTACACCAGCATATCATTACTGTAGAACATGATGAAGGTGGACTCATGATAAGAACAGAGAGAATCACACACTATTTATCTTCACTGCTTCAGTTGATTGAATGTCTGATGATGAATAATACACACACAGTTGAACCATGTACGAGGAACGGGGCCCTGGTGTCTGAGTCTTTGAATCTTTTAAAGGTGGAGACGACGACAACTCAGACCAGGAAGCGTTTCCAGATGATCTTCCAGCTGAGTTTGCTGTAGGACCAGACTTCATATCTACAGGTAGAGATCACACCTGTAGGACCAGACTTCATGTCTACAGGTAGAGATCACACCTGTAGGACCAGACTTCATATCTACAGGTAGAGATCACACCTATAGGACCAGACTTCATATCTACAGGTAGAGATCACACCTGTAGGACCAGACTTCATATCTACAGGTAGAGATCACACCTGTAGGACCAGACTTCATATCTACAGGTAGAGATCACACCTGTCGGACCAGACTTCATATCTACAGGTAGAGATCACACCTGTAGGACCAGACTTCATATCTACAGGTAGAGAACACACCTGTGATATACTTTTTGTTGTTTTAGGCGCTCAGAGAGATGAGCTGAGTTATGAAGATCTGGTGAAGCTGCGTGTGGTGAGAGATGAAATGATGACTCATCATTAAACCATAATACCTGATCAATGAGATGTACTGATTACCTGTGTGTCTGTGGTGCGTTCAGGAGCAGCTGGTGGTGAACTGTCGAGGTTACACTCAGGAGACGGCTCTGTCTCGTAGAGTCAAAGACTGGGAGGACCAGATCAGACCGGAACTGGTGCTGCAGGTAATGAACCAGTCTGTGGGTTGTTGTGATCAGCTGGTTGTTGTTGTTGACGTTGCTGTGTTCAGGAGCAGCGCTCCGTGTTCAACATCCACGACTACGGAGACCGGATCGTGTCGTCATTGACCGGCGTCGGTCAGAGAAGATCTTTCTCCTCCATCGTCTCTGGATTCAACAACTATGAAGCCTGTAAATACCTGCTGGCTTCTCTTCAGCTGGTAAACAAACAAACAAACACATGACATCACAGAGAACACCTGCAGCTTCTAACATCAGTGTGTTTGAGATGTCTGGAATCAACCAAAGCTCTTCTGATATTCACCTTCTAACCTGTTAAAGATGTGATTCACATGTTTGAAGTGTCTTTGTGGAGGTCATGTGACCGTCATGTGACTAACTGAAGGCGTGTCCTCTGGTGTCTCAGGCCAACGACCTGACGGTGGAGGTGGACAGTGTTGGAGGTCTGGAGGACAGCGTGGACTCGATGGGTCTGACTCTGATCAGCACTCACAGAGCTACAGACAGGTTCAAGACCCTCACGGGTTCCACATGAACACACATACACACGTGTGTGTGTGTATATATATATATGTAATAATTTAATACAAAAAAAACAATTAAAAAAACAAAAAACAACTTAGATGGAATTTAATCCTCCTCTTCTTTAAAAAGACTTTTACTTTGAGATATTTGTGTTTCTTTAGATTTTTAAGATTCACCACGAAAGACAAAAATACCAAAAACTAGTAAAAGTTTAGTTTTTTGAAAACATACAACGGAGTAAATCAAAGTTATATTTCAAAAGTAAATATTTAATATGTTAAATCACAGAACACAAAACATTTCATGTATTGATATCTCAGACTGGTCGTGAGCAGAAGGTTCTGGTTCCTTCAGGGACCCTACGGTTCTGTTTCCTTCAGACCCCTAAGGTTGTGGGTGCAGCTGCTCGTAGTTCTTGATGTGGTTCCGGACGCTCTCAGTGATCTGGTCCTGGCTCTTCATGCGGTTGTAATAGTCCAGAAACAGCCCGTCTGGACTGATGAGGTAGATCAGGATCGTGTGGTCCACGATGTAGTCCCCGTCCTCGTCCTTAGGACCGGCACTGGCGTACACCCTGTAGTCCCGCCCCGCGTGTTTCACCTCCTCCGGCGTCCCCGTGAGTCCGATGAGCCGCGGGTGGAAGTCCTTCACGTAGCGGTCCAGAGCCGCCGCGTCGTCCCTCTCCGGGTCCACAGTGATGAAGACCGGCTGGACCGGCGGCAGCGAGGCGTCCCGGTCCAGAGCCGAGACGGCGGCGCTCAGCTTGTCCAGCTCCTCGGGACAGATGTCGGGACAGTGTGTGAAGCCGAAGTACAGAAGGACCCAGCGGCCCAGGAAGTCCGCTTTAGTCCTGCGTTGGCCTCGGTGGTCCAGAAGACTGAAGATCCCCTGACCTAGAGAGACCTGCTTCAGCTGCTCCACCCGCCGCCGACGCTGGTTCTGACGCTTCTCAGAGTCCACGAACCACCAGGCCGCCAGCAGGCTGCCGCCCACAAGCAGGCCGACGCCCACCCGGGTCCTCAGACCAGGACCAGGAGGACCCGGACCCCGCGACAGGAAACACCGGGGGGTCCGCTGAGGAAGACCAGGACTCAGAGGAAGACCTCTCAGGAGTCTTCCTCCTCCACGCACATCACCCACAATGCACCTGAACCACGACATGTTTGACTCCTGCAACACAAATGCAGTATTAGTAGTTTACTTTAAGAGTACTATTACTGTGCTTAAAGTACCACAAGTACTCACTCTGTTATACTTTAATCATTCAGAATACATTGATGACATATTCATATATTCTGTTTTCACAGTAACTTACAGCTGTATTGTAGTAAAAAGTACCTCATTTGTACTTCACTCTTATGCATCACTGTTTATGAATATTAAAACATTACGGAGCAATAATAGAGAATAAAATATATCTTTATATATATATATATTTAATTCTGGATCTTTTACTTTTTTCTAGAGATGTTTATTTTTCTTTCTTATTGTTGGTCATTTATATATTGACATAATATTCATATTTACACTATTTGTGTACATCCTGTCTATACTTTACATTTTTATGCTGTTATTTATTTATATTTTTAAATATTTATTTCTAAATGAATGTTGTTGCTAATCGTTGACATATCGGTATATGAAAAATAATTTATAATATAGTATAGTGAAAAAATGTACATTTTTATGTAAAAAAAACCCTGTAAATTTAAATGATTACAATTCTAAAAAGTGTATGAATATTTAATAGTTATGATTAACTTAAAAAAATAACTCGGTGAAAGTGTAAAATAACAGAAATATATAATATTTTACTGTTTTTAAATGTATTTGTTGTTGCAGTACCTCTTCCCGCCACCAGCGGCAGCACTGACCGGCGTCATGTTAGATTCTACATGGTTTGTATTGATTTGAATGAAATTCACGGTTCACTCGATGAGAATAACTCGTGTTTTTGTTACTTTGAACGCGCCTGACATCGATAGCTATCCTCCTGAACGGTTACTGACAATTTTACCTTTCCTCCGGTGGGTTCATATTATTATTATTAATGTAACGATAATATTATTTTTTAACACTTAAAGTGAGATATTAGGGCTTCAGAACAGGACACACTATCACTCTAAGCTAACAGTTAGCAGCTAACCTGCTGCTGTGAAGCTAACGTTACGTCACCGGGACGTTAGCATAGCTAGCTAACGAGGTTAGCATAGAAACGTTAACGTTTCAATAGAAATGAACTCACCTTCAGTCTGTGAACAGCGTCTGTGGTCACACATGTAACAGAAACACGACGTAATTACGTCATTACGTAAAACTCAACACAACCACACTGTAAAAAATACTGTTAGAATACAAGTACTAATCCCACACTGTAAAAAGTACTACTGCAGTAAAAGTACTAATACCACACTGTAAAAAATACTGTTACAGTAAAAGTACTAATGCAACACTAAAAATAGTTTTACAGGATACAAGTACTAATACAACATTGTAAAAATACTGTTACAGTACAATTTCTAATACCACACTAAAAAAATCTGTTACAATACAAGTACTAATACCACACTGTAAAAAATACTTTGTTACAGTAAAATGTTCCTTCAAAGTATAATCAGTAAAATGTAATTAAGTATTTAAATTGTCTTTAAAATATCTTCACAGGTATTCTCTCTCTCTCAGGTTTTCTGTCTGTCTCTCTCTCAGGTATTCTGTCTGTCTCTCTCTCAGGTATTCTGTCTGTCTCTCTCTCAGGTATTCTGTCTGTCTCTCTCTCTCAGGTATTCTGTCTGTCTCTCTCTC